CCCCCCCCCCCCCAGAGGGCAATATAATGCAAGCACCTCATTTTCTACTAGAGAGGGGCTTTGTTTTTACTTTAAATGGACAAGCTACAGCCATCCCTTAAAACAGCAAAGCAGAACAGTTTAGACGTTCCCTCCTGGAGAGGTACCACTTCTGAACCCTCCTTTTGGAGCATCTGGCTTCGCTTGCTCTCTTGAAGTGACCCTTCACCCCTGCCCCAGCTCAGTAGGGTGTCTCCCGGAACAAGCAGAGGGCTGGTTCAAATCCATTCCTCCCCCTGCCCACCACCAGCAGGGCTCTATGACTGCATGCATCCCAGGCACCACATGCAACAGGTCGCGGGCTTGGGAGCTGGGGCCTGGGCCAATCCAGACGGACAATCCTTTGAATAAGGAGGCCTTAAGCTAACCCCAGTCAACAGTCACTTCATTCCCGGGACAGCCAAGACCTTTTCCAGCACAAGCCAATAATGCACAATAGCATTCAGCCAAGGGACGGGTTACAGCGAGGGACGGGCTACTGCTTACAGCGCTCCGCTGGGCCACCTCGGTTAGAAGCGGTTACACACGCTGAGTCAAACTGTGACAACTGAAACAAAGTTCTCCTACCCAGCACCATGCCCAGAACACCAGCGTGCTGGGCAAAGCTGCCGAGAGGCCGGGCTAGCATCTGCGGTGCAGCCCCTTGACGTTCCCGGAGTACGCTCCAGAGACTGCTAGTTCTGCCCCTCCTCCCTACAACCTGCTCCCTAGTCCTCCAGTGTCTCCCACTGGGTTGTGAGCTACAGTCAGCAGTGCTACCTGGCTGACTCGACTGTCACGCAGGATCCTGTACGTGTCAGCACAAGCCGCCATGCTCTTTAGAGGGTTCCAAAACCAGCATGTCCAACTCTCGCAATATCCAATACGCTAGATCTTTGGAACCCTCTCAGCCCATGGGTCATCAGCACTGGAGGAAATGCACCACGCTAGAGTGCCTCCTGGAGGACAGGCAAGTGCAAAGCAGGCAGGCTGCAAGCCTCCACTACAGTGCCCAAGAACGGGCATACTGGGTCAGACCAAAGGCCCATCTAGCCCAGCATCCTGTCTGACGACAACAAGCAAGGCCAGATGCCCCAGAGGGAGGGAACAACAGGAAATCAAGTGATTCCTCTCCCATCATCCATTCCCAGCCTCTGAGACAGGGACTAGGGACACCATTCCTGACTAATAGCCATTGATGGACCTAACCTCCATGAATTTAGCTAGTTCTTTGTTTGAACTTTGTTCAAGTCTTGGCCTTCACAACATCCTCTGGCAAGGAGTTCCACAGGTTGACTGCGCGCTGGATGAAAAAAATTCCTTTAGTTTTAAACCTGCTACCTCTTCATTTCGTTGGTGACCCCCTAGTGCCCAAGGTAAGGAAGGAGTCCTACAGTCTTGGTGGGGTTCTGTTGAACAGGTGCAGTGGCTGCTGGAGAATGAACAGGGCTCTTTGAACCATG